TGAGGAGAAAGTAACTTCAAATATGTGAGAATCAAAAGTTAGAGAATACTCACAAACCAAGAAGACATAAATGAACAAAGAAATATAAGAAAATGAGTCAGACATGAATGAACATTTCATAATAAAAGAAAATGGAAGTATATACAACTTTAGAAACATAAATTAATACTGTGAGACTGTGTTCAGCTACTTTAATTGGCAAAATGGTTTCTTTTTTCAATTGTCAATTTAATATTGGTAAAGATGTAGAAACAGGAATTTTCAAGCAAACTACTATGGGAATGATATTAATTTCCTCTAACCCATAATTGCTCATCTAATAATTTAACTCAAAGAAATAGTTGCAAACACTTAGCTGCTGTGATATTTATTACAGTGTTCTTTAGAATAATTGGGAAATATAAACAACTTAATGTTAACCAATGGTCTCTGGCTCTAATTCAACACCAACAGCAATCCCCAATTTGGGGTGCGGTGAAGAAGAAAACTTTATTCAGTGCAAAACAGCTCAATTGTGATATATCCGAAAACATCGCAGCCCTGTGGAACAGCTCAATTGTGATAGAGCCTGCAACAGGAGGGCTGTAGAAGGGCCCTGGGGCCAGGCCCCTCTCTGACTAGATGGTTCTGCTCTGCTCCCCTTCATTCCAGTCTGGCTTGCACTGCACTGAGTGAGAGGACATCTGTTTCAGCTCAGCTAGGGATCAGATCAGCTTGGGCGGCAGCCTTTCGGGGAAACAGTGCTCTCAGAGTCAACTGCCTTATATGGACAGGAGTCCCAGGCCTTGGTCTCTGATTGGTCTATTCTCATGCAAATGAGGATTCAAATCCTGACAGTTTGATGGGTCAGAAAGGCACTGTCCTGATTGGTCAGAGTAGAGCCACTCTGATTGGCCAGGGCTATGCGGCTCCTATTGGATGGGGAAAGCCTCAGTCTTACTGTTTGAAATAGGATTCCAGGAACTCCTTTATAAGGGCTGGCTCAGATGGCAGAAACAGTGCAGGCAGGCAATTCAGTGCAGAGGCCCTTGTGCAGAAATGGCTGCTAGTCTCTGTTTTTTTAAAAAATCTGACCCCAGGTAGTCACCAGGAGCCCTTCTTACTAGTAGTAAGTGTCTTTTTCCCCACCTCAGGGTTCACAATAACCAATAAAGAATGAACTGACTGAATTTTGTATTTATACAAGGAAAACTATGCAGCCATTAAAATGATAGTATATATGGTCTTAGTCAATGCTTTTCAGCTGAAATCCCTTAAATACATAAAGTAAACAGAAAATATAAAAGAGTCAAAACAAGCAAACTCATGGTGAAACTATGGAATATTTTTATTTTCCTTTTTAAGATTTCTGTTTTCTAAATTTTCTATAATAAACTAGTATGATGTAAATAATAAGAAAAATATACATTTTAATAAACAAAAATAAATACAATAAGGACACAAGTTTTAAATGAAAAAATTATTTTATTTTATTTTATTTTATTTTATTTTATTTAATAAATCTTTATTGTTCAGATTATTACAGTTGTTTCTCTTTTCCCCCCCCATAGCTCCCATCCACCCAGTTCCCAGCCCACCCCATGCCCCTACTCCTCACCATTGTCCTCGTCCATAGGTGTAAGATTTTTGTCCAATCTCTTCCTGAACCCCCATACCCCTTTCCCCCTGAGAATTGTCAGTCCACTCCCTTTCTATGACCCTGATTCTATTATATTACCAGTTTATTCTGTTCATCAGATTTTTTATTCACTTGATTTTTAGATTCACTTGTTGATAGATATGTATTTATCACTTTATTTTCATAATTTGTATCTTTACCTTTTTCTTCTTCTTCCTCTTCTTAAAGAATACCCTTCAGCATTTCATATAATACTGGTTTGGTGGTGATGAACTCCTTTAGCTTTTTCTTATCTGTGAAGCTCTTTATCTGACCTTCAATTCTAAATGATAGCTTTGCTGGGTACAGTAATCTTGGTTGTAGTTCTTGCTATTCATCACTTTGCATATTTCTTGCCACTCCCTTCTGGCCTGCATAGTTTCTGTTGAGAAATCAGCTGAC